CCCAGCTAGAGACTGGGACTGGTTTGGGAATCACAGCCTTTCCCACTCCCACTGCAACACTAGATGGCGTGGGGACCCGCGGCGCCCGCCCGGCTCCGGCACCGCTCGGTGCTGCCAGAGAGGGGTCACGGAATCACAACTGTCGGAGTCAGAAGGGACCTCTAGAGACCATCCAGTCCAACTCCCCTGCCAAAGCAGGGCTGCCCAGAGCACATCACTCAGGAGCATCCAGGTGGGGCTTGAAGATCTCCAGAGAAGGGGACTCCACACCCTCCCTGGGCAGCCTCTGCCAGGGCTCTGCCACCCTCAAAGTAGTCCTTCCTCAGATTGGAGTGGAACTTCCCATGGTCCAGCTTGTGCCCATTGCCCCTCGTCCTGTCACTGGGAACCACTGAAAAGAGTCCGGCTCCATCCTCCTTCAACCCACCCTTTAGATCCTTGTCAGCATTAATAAGGTCTCCCCTCAGCCTTCTCTTCTCCAGGCTCAAGAGCCCCAGCTCTCTCAGCCTTTCCTCATCAGGGAGATGCTCCAACCCCTCCATCATCTCTGTTGCCCTACGCTGGACTCTCTCCAGCAGTTCCCTGTCTCTCTTGAACTGGGGAGCCCAGAACTGGACGCAGGATTCCAGTTGTGGCCTCCCCAGTGCCGAGCAGAGGGGGAGAATGACCTCCCTCCACCTCCTGGCCACACTCTGCCCTACACAGCCCAGGATCCCATTGGCCTCTTGGCCACAAGGGCACATGGCTGGCTCATGGATAATCTACTACCTACCAGGACTCCCAGATCCTTCTCCTCAGTAGTACTTCCCAGAAGATCCACCCCTAATCCATATTGGTACCCCTAGCCCATATTGGTGCCTGGGGTTCTGAAGTGACAACTTCTGGTGTCCTGCATCCCCTGGGTCTGCTGGGCCCCGTTGGGTTGATGGGGAGGCTGCAGTGAGAGAAAGGGAAAGGAGAGCCCCATGGTGTGCAGTCTGAGAGACACGTCTGGTGGTTGGGGCACACACTGGGAGGTGAGATGCGGCCAACTCGACTCCCTGCCCTCCTGGACAGGGAGACAGTGTCCCACTGTCAGACGGAGAGGCATCCCGCTGTCCGTGCTGGGGAGGGACAGGCCTGGACCACACTCACTCTGAGGATGGGCTTCTGTGCTTCACCAGCCCCATCTCCTCCTCCCTCCCCCCCCAAGGCCTCAGAGCAGAGACCAGACTGGTTTGCAGCAGTGGACCCTGAATTTTGGGATGCAGGGACCCTTGATGGAGCTGACGGCCAGCTTTTAATACACCTACTCCACCTCCTCTGGAGGAAAGAAATAGAGGTACATGAGTCTCAGAAACCTGACAGCCCCTGCTGTCACTGGTGGGAAGCTGGCTGGAGGGGACAGGTCTGTCCAGCTCTGCTGGAGGCTGGCATCTGCAGCACCATCTCAAGCAGCATGTGTTGGACACGTCCTCTGAATCATCTGGCAGAGGTTTCCCAACCTCCAGGGCAAAGGATGCTCATCCCCACGTGCTGGGGCGACGTCAGCTCTGGGGTACAGCTCTAACTCTCTGCAAGGCCTTGGGGAACCCTGTGGAAGGTCTGTGGCCATCATGACCAACTGAACTGCAGTGGCTGATGCCAAGGTGCTCATGTCACTATCCTCTTCACAGTGTGCCAACGTGCATTGTGGCAACTGGTAATGCCCTGCTCAGTAATATGGCTGTACCCAGTTAACTAAGACCCACACATTCCCTTCAGTGGGGCCCTGAGCACCCTGATACATTCCTATTGCCACCTGGCTCCAATGTCTCCGACTGATGAGGTGACCTGCTGTGCTCTGAGCTGTTGGATGGGCCATGCCCAGCCAGACTGGGTCCTTCAGGTCCCCTCTGCTCTGCTTGTCCGTGCTTGGCCAGGGCTGGATGGGTGATGCCCACCCGCCGTGGCAGCGCGGCTCCTCTCCCACTGGCAAGACAAAAGGCAGCCTGGTGTCTGGTGACAAAAGCCTTCCCTCCATACAGGATGTGAGCAGCACATCCCCCTCGAGATCCTCCTCCCCTTCCTTTGTTCCAGGTCTTGGTTCAGGACCAGGAATTTCTTACCCAGAGTTCAGAGCAAAATTACTGTCAAATCTAACATCAAAGTTTTCCAGGTCCAAAGGAAGCACCTCCCTGCTGCTGCCCTCCCAGTCCTCCTCCCTTCCTCCCAATCCCAGTAACACACTCCCAGCAGCCGGGGCAGCCTGGGCTCCTCGGCCATCCTGCAAAGGGGCTGCCTGCACTAGGAGAACATTCTCCTCAGGAGAGGGGAACGAGTGGGAAGGATCCTGTGAGCCCCAGAGAGCAGCAGACAGCCTCTTCGTGCCAGCTGCCTTTTTTCTTTAATGCCTACTTAGATTTTTCGAGTAGAAGATGGCCAGTGCAGGCTAGAGAAATTAAATGGGAGCTTTTACTAACTGCATCTTGGCCTGGCTTGACAATCCTGTCCAATCCTGTCCAATCCTGTTCCGGGCTTGGAACTCGATGATCTTTAAGGTCCCTTCCAACCCAAACCATTCTCTGATTCTATGAATTAGAAGCACTGGAGCATCCAGCTTCTCTCCATCCTCACCTACTACAGTGGCTGGAAGATCCTCATGGAACACAGAGGCCTCAGGGACTCCTGGGAGAAGCTCAGGGTGGGAAGCAGCAGCAAAGCTGTTCCCTTCTGGTTTCCCCCCCTGGAGCTCCCCGGGGAGCAGCTCCTGGAAGGGGCTGCCTTTTCCTGGCCTCCACGTCCAGATGATGGACCGAATCTTCTTTGAATCCTCCAGGACACCAAAAATGCCTAAGAAAGGGAAGATCCTTTCTCTGCCTAGTGCCACCAGGTTCCTGTCCCTGTGTGGGGTTCACTGGAAATTGGGGATGATATCCCGCTCCCCTCCCTGCCCTGCTGTTGCAGCCAGCGTCCATGGGACGAGGGGGAGTACTGGGGGGTTGGGGGGAGGGTGGAATACAGGGGGATGTTTCCCAGGGGGATAGAGAGTGGGAGTTTGTACCCCATCAAGCTGAGAACCAAGCGGGGATGAGCACCCAAGGGAACACCTAAAGGCAAACGGGGACTGCATGGCCCTGCCGGGGGGTCTGAGACGCAGCAGTGACCTGGGTCTGATGCAGGGCTGCACGTGGACTGCCCTTGGCTTTTCACGCTGGAAACAGCCTCAGCATGTTTTTTACAAGTCCTGGGTCTTCTTGGGCTCCCGTGTTGCCCTGTCATGGAAACACACAGAAAAAGATGGAAAGAGCAGCTTTCTAGCCCTGCAGCCGCACTTTGTAACCCCGCAGCCACAATTTCTGTAGGCTGCTCCCGGGATGTTTGGGCACAGAGGGCACTATTGTGTGGTGTGGGGTTACGGCAGGGTCTGTGGGACAGCAGGGAGGTGGAGGCAGCACCTCTGCTCCCGCAGACACCGAGGGTACCTGTAGTGCTCCCACCTTTTCACTGCTCCGAGCCCTCCCGTCGCAGCTCCAAGCCCTGCCATCCTGCTGTTTTCCCAACGCCCCTGTGTTTTGTGCTTGTCTCTTACCACAGTCTTGTTCTTATTTCTTGTTTCTATTGTCCCCATGTCCCTTCACCTACAGTAGCATGGATATGGGGACTCATTGCTGTTGCTGGTTGTGGGTTCCATTGCTGTTCTGGTTGGGAGGCCGTTGCCAAAGACAGTTGTTGTTATTCCCCTGTTCTCCACACCTTCTCTCGCAGCTTTTATTTTAGAGCAACACTTTGAGCATAACAAAATACCGACCAAAATATCTGATAGGTTGCACTGGTGGCACATACACTTGGGAACCGGGCTGCTGGTTTTAGGGAGCCACTGGGGGTACAACCATCCCACCCCACTCTGTGGGAATAGAGATGGGGTGGGATCCCCAGGGAGCAGGATGGGGTGGTGTGCCCAGTAGCAGTGGGGCAGTACTGGTGCCCGGGGGTCCCTGGTGGCATGGGGTGGGTGGGAGTGGCAGTGGGGCAGTCCCGGGGGTCCCCAGTGGCGTGGGGAGGATGGGGGTGGCAGTGGGGCAGTCCC